CCCGGACTCTTTGGGTTTTGTTTATGTTTTAGAGTGGGTGTTTTCAGTCAGGTGCCGCCCTTAGAGGGGGGGATATGTAATGTCTGTTTTGTTTCTTGTTCATTGTTTTAATGTCTTTTATTTTGTAGTTTGGCCACAGTCATGTTCTGTCATGTGATTCCCTTGTCTGTGTGTTAGGTTCTGATTGGTTCATGTGTCATGTTCTCATTGGTTGTCTTAGTCATGTGTCTTGTTTCTCATTGGTTGGTTGTCATGTGACCCTCATTGTTTGATATAAATAGCCCTCATGTTGCCTTTGTTCTTTGTCTAGCTTTAAACGGTGTAACCTGCTGTTGGTGAGTTGTGTTTCTGTTATGTCAAGTCTGTTTCTGGTTAAGTCTGTTCATGTCATGCCATGCCAAGTCAAGTCTGTTTCAAGTCAAGTCTTCGTTTGTTTGGATTATTTTAAATAAACTGCACTTGGGTTCATCACAACTCTACTCCAGTGGACTAAATGTTACAAAATCACATTATTATATGATATTTATTTGTTTGTTTTATTGATTTTGTTGTTTATTCATTTATGTACAGCAATAAACTGCTGTTTATTACAACAAAATAAAATAATAAAAGCAATAATAACAAAATATGATAATAATAATGTTTATGCATTTCATTTACAGCAATAAAGAAATCATTAATAGTAAACACCTGACACTATATTTTGTTTGTTTAATCACATTTATTATTTGTTTAATCATTCATTTATGTTTAGCAATAAAGAAACAAAGTAATAGCAGTAATAACAAAACGGTTTATTAACAACAATAAAGAAATAAATAAGAGTAGCAATAAAAACAAATAACTTATTGATTTATGTGCATCAATAAATAAACAAGTAAAAATAATAATAAAAACTGTATTGATTTATATAGCAATAAAGAAACCAATAATAACAATAGATAAAATATATAAATATAATATATTTATTCATTCATTCATTGAAATTAATTATTAAATTACACATTTTAGGATACATTTTTACCATGTGGCACATATGTTTGAAAGAACTCATGAAATAGTTTGATGAGCACTTTTTTTTTTCTTGTGTTGATTTTCTTATTGAAATAGGATGTTGGTCTGTGTCATATAGAAAGGTTGTTGTTATTTTCATGTATCCAGTTTGTTACAGTGGGTCAGAAACATACAGTCACGGACGAGAGTAAAGACAGACTTTGTTGTTGGTTTTCTAGGTAACTGGGATCCGCAGGCATTTGTTGAAAAGTTTGGTCTGGCTAGACCAGTGGCTTCACTCCAGTTCCTCACCCAAAACCACAAGGACTAGAGGACACCTCCAACCTGCATCTCAACTTGACCTCTGGCTTTCACACACTCTATGGCTTGTTTTTGTCCCAATATCTAGAATGAATGTATTGCACATTAGTATTTAGGTGAATGTTAAACTAATAAAAGATTAATTGTTTCCTCATGTCTGAATTATAACTTGTATTAATGTGTTTGATGTAATATCACATATCTCATACATTCACAAAAATCTGAATAAATATTATATTCATATCATTTCAAGACTCCTTTTTCTGAATGTGAGCAGCATGTTTATAAAATGTTTAAATATTAATGAGAAAAAAAACTACTATCCCACAAAGTGTATTTTAGGAGTTTCTCCCACACTCTAGCTCTGTTCCAAAACCTAGAGTGCCTTGCTGTCAGCTGCCTACATAGAGAGCCGCCATGGAAGCTCCTAAATGACCCATATGGAGCACTCCACATAGCAGAAAATGTCCAAAAAAATGTACATTTAGGGGTGCAACAGCTTGTCACCGGGTGCAGTGACTTAAAGGGACAACTCTGTACCTTATGTCTAAGAATCTATTTTTAAATTATGTCTAAGGTTCTTATAGTTTTTTTTCTGCGTACAGTATGTGTAACGTAAATTTCGTCATCAGCATAGTACAAATGCAGTAAGATTTTTCTGACCGCGTGTACAGTTTACACTCAGCTCAAACAAAGTACACTCACACACAGAGCCGATCCTCCCTATACGCAAAATACGCAAGCTGCGGAGGGCCCCCGAAACACCAGGGGGCCCCCTTGCTCTCAAAGATGATTTAATTTTAGTTTCGTTTTTTAATTTGGCCAGCGGTTATGAAAACATGAATGATCATTTCTTTTAATGCGGTGCGCTGTCGACCTTTCTACGTAAAAATCAGTATGTTCTGCGTAAATATCAGAATGTCGTACAGTCTTGCTCGAGACTAAAAAAACGAGTTGTAAGCGTACCGAGCCGCGGAAGAGACAGTTTCTCAAGCGCTTTCCGCGAGCGTGATTCGAGATGGAGTGAAACACGAATAAATGCATTTCATTAATTCGTTCATAAGCACTCATACCCCACTCCACTGCCCCCCCTCCCGCCCCCGCCGACACAGTTTAGCATAGGGCCCCCAGAAGTCTAGGATCGGCACTGCTCACACATGCATCTTGAGGTTTTGTTTGGCACTAATTACTTTGTCCACAATGTGGCAACACTGTCCCAACCAAGTGTGCCGCACACGACCTGAAAAGTGAAGCCAAAACATTTCGATCGCCCCACTGGTGGCTGGCTGCAGTATAGGTCATAAACCCTGCCCTCTCCATGTAAACGAATGGGACGTGAGCCAAACTAAAAAAAATCTAATTACACTTCAAATTTATTTTTCCCAGAGATGCTTTCCAACATTTTAAGTAGTTCATATCACGCTGATTTCTAATATGTTTGCTTTTAGTTAGTTATTTGATATTTATCACTCATAACATCTGGAAAGAAATAGTGCAGACTAGTGTGCACGTGTCGAGCATCTATGTTTGTGCATGCTATCAAATGGAGTACACTTTGAAAGGCTGTGCACTATATGCCTATGCTAAGTGTTCGCGTCAAAACTAAAGTATACTTTTGGCTTAAGGGTACATATTGCTATTCTACGTTACTAATATGCACATTTTAGGTGAAGATGAGGTACCAAGTTGTCCCTTTAGGGGTACTGCCCCAGTGACAAGCTGAAGGCCGTGACACACTCGGTCAATGTTGAGCCATCATTAAACATCTGTTAACACAGTTTTTGCTCCACACCTTCAGCACTAATCTGACCCCATCTACAGCTCACAGATCACTCTGATTGGCTGAGAAAAACATGGCTGTTTGGAATGAAGGATGTTATTGATATGAATGATATTCAGAATGGTAAGCAAGTCATAGTTTTGGTTGTCATTTTTTAAATGATGAATATAGGCTACTGCCACCTGCTGGTCTGGAGAGTTATTTCCTTTCACGCATACGCAGAACGTATGCTAGCTGGCCATTGGCATGACGCAACATTTTGGCCAAGATGCAGGCAACGCGAGGTGACAACACCGTATGCTTCAATCATTATTTTATAATGGTCCACTTTTTGCTCATTTTTTGTCAGACAATGTGCTCCTCGAGTAAAGCACTCTCACATTTAATTCCAGCAGTTTGATGCTAGCATGTTGCTAAGCTAATGAAGTGATACCTTAATAAGCATAAAAATATGTGGTACAAACCAATATTGGTTAAAATAATCAACTTTAGATTACAATGATGTTACCAGCATGTTTGAGTGTTGAATTCTTGGATGGAGTTTTTGTGTGGTGTATTCTGGGATTGGCTTTTCCTCAAAGGACATGTAATGCAAGCTTTGGGTAAAATGAGGAAGCAATGTCCAGCCTTCAAACTTTCAGAACAGCCTTTATGTCGACGATACAACTATGATGACTTAAAATGCTGTCTAGGCAGCTCAAAAGATTTTTAGACAGAACTCAATACTTCCAGATCACAAAGACAAGATACAATCAAATCACGTGTGCACACACTCACACATACCACTACGGCTGGTCATCGGCATACTATCCCATGGCCTGCCCGATTCTCCCTGAAATGGACAGTCTATTTCTCTGGCTTTCTTAAAGGCACGATATGTAATTTTCGCCACTGGAGGGTGCGTATTCAAAATAAACAAAGAGACAAAGGCGTAGTTTGATGACGCCGTGACTGAGTGTGGAATCATGGGAGTTGTGGTCTTCATCCCCACAGCCGAAGCAATCCGACGGGACTCGGGCAGAAATCATGTTCATGGATGAGCTAATGATTTATTAACGTAGTAGAATGAAGCAGGGTGAGGCTGAAAGCCGTCGAAGCGAAACGAGGCCGCTGAACGAGCGTGACACACGGCTCGAAAGCAGCGGAGCTTTTATTATACCACAGTCGACCGCTTCCGCTTCCTTCCGGTCGTGCGTATGTGGGGTAAAGCAGCGCTGTTTTTTACTAGATACTTTTGAAAGTTCTGTTATAATGCTACTCTGTGCGGTCGTCACCGGTCTAATAAAATGCACAACATATTAAAGCGTCTTTGGTGTTTCCATGTTTTCTACAAAACAAAACCAGAAATCGAGGGGTTATGACGTCATTGGCAGGCGACACAATGACACTATGGACACGCTCCGTGTCACTAGTTAAAATTGCTTATTTCTCTGGATTTAAACATTCTTCGAAACATTTGGGATAACGTAAGTACACAAGTCAGCAAAATATATAACACTGTTCTAGTGGTTTTAGGATATTTTAATAAAAAAATCTTACATATTGTGCCTTTAAATAATCCACCCTCACTTACAAACCGCCGTAGTGTTGCATTCCTGTTTTCTTGGCAGTGAGAGCAGGCCCGGACTCTTCCAGACAGCGCAATACCACACAAACCAACAGTAATGCTGTTTGCGCTCTCTGGCCGCTCTGAGGTTAGACGTGCAGTGGAGGTTGAACATGATGACTTCATGCCAGTCTGCATGTGAAAGATCTAGACAGATGAACAAGAAAAGATGGACAGAAACAGAGGTGTGAAAGTAGCTTCAGCGCTGTCACACTTTAGAAAGAGTGTCGAGGCCACAACTCAACCGGATGCCACAGTGGAACTACGACCAAAATACTCTCCATGTGTTACTTCAGGACAGACAGAAGGGGCACGGGTTCACAACGAGCCTTTTTTTATTATTATTATTGTGGTTTTACGTATGCACACGTTTACAAAAGAAAAAGAAACTTTTTGTAACTTCACCTCTCAGTGTTTCTCAGACAAGCAGGTTTTGTCTCGCCTGAGTAATTTTTAGTTTATATAAGGCAAAGCATTTTCATAGTGCACTATTTCTGAGCAGACTTATGTAATAATTATAGACATGCAAAACAAAGGCGGATGATTCCACAAAAAACTAGTTTCAATTTATCTCAGACATATATTATATATATATATATATATATAGCACAACACTTGCCATACATATATGTGTTACTGTATGTAGTGTTCATATAATAATAATAATAATAAAATATATAATTCTGTTCCAAAGTAAAAAGAAAAAAAATGTATAAAATAAATAAAAAATTCAAAGTTTACATAAAGCTAAATAAAAAAATAGTATTCATTCATTCATTCATTCATTCATTCATTATTAATATTATTATTATTATTATTAACATAATAGCAGCTGTATATGTATTGTTATTAATATTATTGGTATTGGTATTCTTAAAATAATAATTAATATATATATATATATATATATATATATATAACAATTGTATTGTTTTCTTCTGCTACAGAATCATATTATATATTTAACAAATGTATTGTTTTCTGCTACAGAATCATATTATTATTATTATTATTGTTGCTGGTGCTGTTGTTGTTATTATTGTTGTTTGTTATTAATTTATTAATTTTCTAGAATTTATTCATAGAATGTAATCCCTCTCCACTTCATTTGTTACAGAATGTATATATAAATGTAATAGTTAATTAATAATGTACTGAGCCATCTGTTACTGTATGCAATGTTCAAATCACACAAACTATTAATTGTTGTATTGTGCATCATAATAAATCATTACAATGCATTGCAGAGCTGTATTGTGTGAAGTCTCTACTGACTCAAAATGTCTATAGCATGTAATCCCTCTCAGCTTCACTACTGGGTGTGTAAGGCTGGGTCACAAAAGCTCCTCTCTGGAAAAAAAAAACTATCGGCTGCAGTTGAGCATTTCTGTCTCAGAGGACAGATTGATATCAATACACCAGATGTCTGGAAAAAGGGCCGGGATTTAGGGAAAGTACTTTGATGTGGATATGATCAATGTAAGTTAGTGGTTTAATCGAGCAGGCAATAGTGTCTCATCTGACACACATACACACACACGCTCTGGCACACTCTCACGTGCATTCATACTTTCACAGACGGGCAGATCAGTTCTCTCACATACCCCGACCTCGAGTGCCACACACACACAAGCAGGGCTCCTGCAGGTCTTTGTGCCTCGGCTGGTTAAGCCAGTCTTTGGTGAGTCTCACCATGTC